TGTACCTATGCAACAATCTTGCATGTTCTTCACATGTACCCCAAAACCTAAAACACAATAAATATATATATATATATATATATATATATATATATATATCAATGATATTCACCACATTGTAATGGATTGAAGGAGGAAAAATATATGAAAACCTACGAGTTCTATGGAACAAAAAAAGGTGCAGGGAGAAGCTTTAAGAACACCTACATAGATGAAGGGGTATACTACGAATAAATATTGGAGGAACAAATGTGATATGGAGTCAATTTCTTTTTTTTTTAATATAAGACGGGGTTTCACCATATTGGTCAGACTGGTCTCAAACTCCTGACCTCAGATAATCCACCTGCCTCGGCTTCCCAAAGTGCTGGGATTACAGGCGTGATCCACCACCCCCGGCTATGGATATCAATTTCAATCAAAAATTCAAAAGATGTTTTGTGGAACTTGTCAAGTGAGTCTAAAATGTATTGGGAAGTATTAAAAACCAAGATATCCAAGACACTTTTAAGGAAAAACAATCTGGGAGAACTTATTCTGCTAGATGTGAAGACCTATTATAAACAGAAATTCAGACAGTGTGGTATTGACTCAAAGATAGAAGATTAGAATGGAATAGAATAGAGAGCCCAGAAAAGACTCTTGCATACACAAACATTTGCTATCTGGCCAAAGTGGCACTGCAGAGCAGACAGGAAAGGACATTATTCTGAATAAATGACACTTAGACGTCCATACGAAGAAAAAGTTAAATTGGATCCCTACTTCACACCACACTCTAAATTCCAGGTTGGCTAATGACCTAAACAGAAAAGACAAAGTCTGAAAGCTTTAAATAATTAGAAAGTTACAAAGCTCTTAGGACCTTGAGGGAGGGGAAAATTTAAACAAAACTTAAAAAGTATTAGCTACAAAGTGGGTGAAAAGCTATAAAGAGAGTAAAAACAAAGCCATGATAGGAGAAGATATTTCCAAAATAAAGAATTCTAAATAGAGGGACTATATAAAGAACTACAAATCAATATGAAAGAAGCTACACCATCAAGGGAGATGAAAGTTGACTACAAATTCTTTGCTCTTCTTCTCATTGAAAGGTGGAATCAAATTCCCCTTTCCTTGAATCTAGGCTGGCCTTACTGACTTGCTTGACTGAAAAAACACATCTGAGACATTCGACACTAGGTCAGAAGAGGCCCTGTGCTTCCATCCAATGCTTGCAATGCTTGTTCTGGAGTCCATCTGACACTGTCCTGCTGTGAAGAAGCCATTCCCCAGCTAGCCTTGCCCCCAGCCATTGAGTCATCACAGCTGAGGACAAGTCCTGCTCAACTTGAAGACCCATGGGCAAAAGAAATTAGTGCTTCTTTTTCCGGACACAAAATTTTGGAGTGGTTGGTGATGTAGGAGTACATAACCAGAATAACAACTTAATAGAAAAATGAACAGAGCGTTTGAACAGGCACTTTTCAAAAGAAAAAAATCATTTGTGATTAGAGAGATACAATTTAAAACTAGAATGAGATGCCATTACACATCCATCAGAATATGGAGTGTAAAATCACATATCCACTTTGGAAAGAATTTGGCATCACCTATTCCACCTGCTGATACACATGCCCTCTGACCCACTCTACCCTAGGGAGTCTCCTGGACAAGAGCACACGAGACAGACCTACCAATGTTCATAGCAGCACTATTTTTGAAAGGCGGAATCTGCAAACAACCCAAACTTCCGTCTTAGCGGAATAAGTAAGTAGATCATTGCTATATGTTTCTACAATGGAGGCCTATGCAGCCGTGAAAATGAAGAAGCTGGCAGTTCGGCAGTCCCTCAGATCTGTCTCTTGCTTCAACAGTGTTTGGAAGGAACAGATCCCGGGGACTTTCTTCCAGCCTCTGACAGCCCTCTGATTTCCCATCCACTTGCAACCTCCAGGACCATCTTTTCGCCATCTCCTGCTTCTGGGGACCTGCTAATACCATTTTTGTGGTTAGCTTTTTGCCGACCAACCATGCGCTTCCAGATTCATCAGAATTATTCCACTGAGGTGGAGGCAGCCGTCAGCCGCCTAGTCAATGTGTACCTGCAGGCCTCCTACACCTACCTCTCTCTGGGCTATTTCGACCACGATGATGTGGCTCTGGAAGGGGTGGGCCGCTTCTTCCGCGAATTGGCCAAGGAGAAGCGCAAGGGCTACGAGCGTCTCCTGAAGATGCAAAACCAGCGTGGTGGCCGCACTCTCCTCCAGGACATCAAGAAGCCAGCTCAAGATGAGTGGGGTAAAATCCTGGACGCTATGGAAGCCGCCATGGCCCTGGAGAAAAATCTGAACCAGGCCCTTTTGGATCTTCATGTCCTGGGTTCTACCCCCATGGACTCCCATCTGTGTGACTTCCTGGAGAGTCACTTCCTAGATGAAGAAGTGAAAATCATCAAGAAGATGAATGACCACCTGATCAACCTCTGCAGGCTGGCCGGCCCACAGGCTGGGCTGGGCGAGTATCTCTTCCAAAGGCTCACTCTCAAGCACGGCTAAGAGCCTACTGAGCCCAGTGACTTCTAAAGGGCCCTTGCAAAATAACAGGGCTTCTGCCTAAGCCTCTCCCTCCAGCCACTAGGCAGCTTTCTAACTACCCTAACAAGCCTTGGACCAAATGGAAATAAAGCTATTTGAAGCAAAAAAAAAAAAGAAAAGAAAAGAAAATGAACAAGCTAAAACTATAGAAAACATGAATACTATTTACAAACATGACATTGAATAAAAGACAACACCATACCAGAACAACAACAACAAAAAAACATATGTAGTGGCCTTCTATTCAAATGAAGTTAAATAACAACCAGTACAATTTAGAAATGCACTGAGATAGTAAAAAACTAATTTTTTAAATATTATCAGTGTCAGCTGGGCATGGTGGCACATCCCTGTAATCTCAGCATTTTGGGAGGCCGAGATGGGAGGATCACTTGAGGCCAGGAGTTTGAGACCAGCCTGGGCAACATGGTGAAACCCCATCTCTACTAAAAATATTAACACAAAAAATAAGCCAGACACAGTGGCACACATCTGTAATCCCAGCTACTTTGGAGGCTGAAGCAGGAGAATCACTTGAACCCAGGAGGCGCAGGTTGCAGTGAGCCAAGATGGTGCTACTGCAGTCCAGCCTGGGAAACAGAGCAAGACTCTGTCTCAAAAATAAAAGTAAAATAAAATATTATCAACGTAGCCAGAACGGTGGTTATATCTAGAGCAGAAGGAAAGGATTATGATTGCAGAGGAGCACTGGGAAGATGTTTGAGGTGTTAATACCCTTAATTTTTTTTTAACTTGGGTGATGGTTATGTAGTACCTACTTTAGTCGCAAAATGGTATATTTGTGTTTTATGCGCTTTTCAGTAAATATTGTTAATGTAAGGGAAAAAAGGAGAACGTCCGCAAGCTTCACCTAGCTGCAGCGACATGCACATAATTTGCACCCTCCTGCCCATTGCTGTGAGTAAAGCACCCCTGACAGCTAACACTAGACCTTGTTCTGCCAGGCCTCCCCCTCCTGTGTCAGTGAGCCTGCCTCTGCAGGACCTGCACTCACATCTCCCTCCAGATGCTCCCCATCTTCCCTTCAAAGCCTACGCTGTGGGAAGGCTTGTCTAGACTCGTTGTCTCCAGCTGTTCTCTTCTCATTCTCTCTTGAACTCACTCCAATTAAGTGTTCCTCCCACCATTCACCCACACTGCTCTATCAAGATCACTAATGACCTCATGGTGTCACATCCAGTGGTCACCTCTCATTCCTCCTCTTGACCTGTCAGCAGCATTTGGGACAGGTGAGGAGCCCCCTCTTAAACACTCTCTTCACCTGGCTGGAGGGGCCTTCTCCTGCCCTCCTGGTTTTTCTCCAGCCTTCCTGGCTGCTCCAGCTCAATCTCCTCAGTCCCTCCTTCTCCTATCTCCCCTGCCCACCTTTCCTCAGTCACTATCTGGATGATCTCATCCAGTTCCAATGCTTTAAAATGCCATCTCTACGTTTATGACTCCCAAATCTTGATTTCCAGCCCACCACCCCCAACTCTCCCCCTGTGAAGTCCTGCCTCACTGACACAGCCAGCATCTAACCAGCATCTCCACTTAAAGTCGGAATATTCATCTTCAACGAGAGGTAGCCAAAAGTGAGCTCCACATTTTTCCACCCCAAAACCGGCTTCTCCTACAGCCTTCTCCATCCCGGCAACTTCCATCCTTTCTGAAGTTCAGGCAAAAAACCTGAGAGTCATCCCTGACTTTCTGTTTTCCTCCTCCCACCCCCAAGCCACTCCCACAGCCAAGCCAATAGCAAATCCTGTCTGCTTTGGCTTCGATAAAGATCCAGAATCCCCTTCTCGCTCTGTCGAGACCACCACTGAGGCCTCCTGCCTCATTGCAAGAGCTCCTAATTGGTCCCGGGATCAGGTGCCCTCACAGAATGTTCGCAGCAACAGCAGCCAGACTGACTCAGCTACACAGCCTGTTGTGTTCTGTCTCTCCTCTGCTGAGAACCTTTGGCCTCCCACCTCCCTTAGGGGAAAAGCTCCCTCCATAGTAGGGTTTCTTCTCTATCCTCATCCCTCAACCTCTCACCTCTGCCTCAGCACAGTGGCCTACATATTTGTGCCTCTTGCACCTACCGGTTGCTCTGCCTGGCAAGCTTCTCCCCCAGACAGATACCTGCTTTCAAGTTTTCACTCGCTTGCCCTTCTCAGGAAAGCCTCCCAGACCACCCTACTTAAAACTGCAGGTCCTCTTTCCTGCTATGTGTTTTCCCCTAAGGAGTATGACCACCTAACAGTCTATGCTTTTTTAAAACCTACTTGTGGCGGGGCACGGTGGGTCACGCCTGTAATCCCAAAACTTTAGGAGGCTGAGGCGGGTGGATCACTTGAGGTCAGGAGTTTGAGACCAGCCTGGCCCTGTCTACCAAAAATACAAAAAATTAGCCAGGAGTGGTGGCTCACGCCTGCAATCCCAGCTACTCAGGAGGCTAAAGCAGGAGAATCGCTTGAACTCCGGAAGCAGGGGTTGCAGCGAGCTAAAATTGCACCACGGCACTCCAGTCTGGGCATCAGAGCGAGACCCGTCTTAAAACAAAATAAAAACCTATTTTATTGTTACCAATCTCCCCACACTACACTCTAAGCTCCAGGCGGTATACTCAGTACCTGTAATGGTGCCTGGCACGTGGAAGGGGGTCAGTCGACGTTAATTAAAGGAATGAGGGTGACTTGCACAAGCTGCATAGTAAAGCGGAGGAGAACCTGCACCAGGCCTCTCTGACCGCGATCCTGAGAAGAACCAGCCGGTAAAACCAGGAAAGGAGAAGGGGCGGGGCCCGGTGGGCGGGGCCAGTGCTGGGAAGCCCCGCCCCGTCCCGCCCCCGGATCGGGAGCTCTCTGGTCTGGGCGTTAGGATTCTCTCAGTCCCCGAGGAACGCCGGCCCCGCAGGGCTCGGGGAGCGCCGCTGGGCCCCTTCTCCCAGGTCCGGGGAGCGCAGGGCCTCGCCGGGCCCGCTGGAGAGACAGAGCGCCGGGGTCACCGCTGCCGCCGGGGGGCGACAGAGCCAACTGGGTGCTGGCGGCTGCGGAGCCGCCGGGCCCGGGCCTGAGGCTGCCTCCCACCCTGGCCTCGCGCCCCTTCTTGATCTGACCCACCACTGCGGCCCACTAGGCTGACAGCGCCCGGGACCCCTGGCGAGGCGTCTGGGAGGATCTGCGTGATCAGGGTGGAGGGACCTTGGGGGCAAGCTGAAGAATGGGTTAATATACAGGCAAAGAGCCAGGAGGTGTCTGGGCCTGGGGCGTGTGAAGCTGGGGGGGAGGGGGGGCGTTCTTTGGAGGAGCAGACAGAAGGCCAATGTGATTGGACTCGCCAGGAGGGCTGCTGGGGGGAGGAGGGGCTCAAGGCCCCAATGAGGTTTTGGGCTTTTCCCCAAAGTGGCAGTGATCCTTTTAATTGTTCGTCACCAGAGAAGCAGGATCAAACTTGTCTTGTAAACACCTCCTACTTGGGTAGAAGGGAAAGGGAAGTGAAAACCATGAGTCGGACAGGGCCAGAACTGGCCTGGACCAGGGGAGTGGGGGCAAGTGTAGAGAGGGATAAATTTTTGGAGTTAGAATCGATGGGACCTGGGGATGAGTTAATTGCACGTGGGGGTGATAAAGAAAGAGCAGCCAAAACAGACCTCAGGGTTCTGCCTTAAGCAGTTGCAGAGAAGAGCTGCCGAAGCGGGAGAGGTCATTCCAGAAGGCAGTTTGGTGCCATTAAACCTTTGACACTCATGAGATTACAGCAAATCTGTTCCAATACTTAAGCCACTGGAAGAAACCGCTTACCAGGGAATTTCCAGCGAAGTTGCCTGTAGAGGATCTTTCTCCAGATCACAAAAAATGCTGCCATGCCTGGTGGGGCTGGACTCTGTGTATGCTGGGTTTGGGCCTGGATAAATGTTGCAGCCAGCCTTGATTCTGGAGAGAGGTATTTAAGAATGGGAACATAAAGGCAGCAGCAAATGAGATTGTCACGTGCACGTGGCCATGGCAGTCCATCCACTGCCTGCCTGGCCCTGTGGCCCTGTGTGCCCAGCCCAAGGAGCCAACCCTGCCGGCTGCTGTCCACTGAGGAGGCAGCAGGCCTGGCTGAAGCTGGCACTGTGGCTATGACCCTATTGAACCAAAACTGTCTGGGTTTGTAATCCCAGCTCCACCTCCTGCTACCTGCATGGCCTTGGTCAAGTTTCTGTCTCTTTCTTCATCTGTAAAGTGAGAATTCTAACGTCTAGGACATATGATTGCAGTGAGACACTCACGATGTTATAAAGGATTTACTACTTGATTAGGAAGAATCATGAGCCTGTGGGGACCAGCTTGGAGTGCAGCCACAGATTCCTTAACAAGCTTATTGGATTTTTAAGTAACTTTTTTTTTTTTTTTTTGCTTCCCAGGCCAGATGGAGCTGTCACACCGGCAGGTGGCACTCAGAGGAGGGGTCAGACTGGAAGACACCCGAGTAGGACAGGATGCTGGTGCCTTGAGAGTAGAGGCACCACCCTGGATTGGGCTTCTCAGCCCTCACAGAGCACTTACATCACCTGGGAGTGTTGGAAAAATACCAGCAACCCTGGCCCTCCCCTGAATTCGATCAGTCTGGGCATCAGCATTTTGCAGAACTCCCTAATGATTCTCGAGCAAAGCTAAGATTGAGAACCTCAGGTCTTGGGAGGTCAGGTGGAGAGAGAAGGGCAGCAGCTGAGCAGCTGAGCAGGGGCAGGGAAGGGTCGGGTACAATTTAGAGGCCAGGCTGAGGAGGAGTGAGCAAGGAGATTGAGACCGTCTTGCCCTGGTGTGGGAGTGAATCCAGGAGCAAACTGAAGAGCCTGGAGCTTGAAATAATGAAAGAGGCAGAGCAAGGGACTGCAGAAGTCAAGGGCTGAGATGTGGTGATTCCCTGTGGCCCCGGGAGGCCCCTGGTGACCTTAGCATACAGGATGCTAGGTGGAGATAAAAGCCAAAATGGAGAGTAGAGGCACCAACTGTGATTAGAAGACACCTGTCCATAGAAACAGGAAGGGGAGGAGACAGTAGCAGGAGGGAGTTATAGAGTCAAGGGAAGTTTAGTTTGATTTCTTTTTAGGGCCTCCTGGGCCTGTTGGGAGGGTGAGG